ATCCTAAATAATTATACTTGAACGGAATAATATATTCTGCTCTATATTTCCTGCGGGAAAAGCTGTTTTGCTTTTCTTTTTCAAAGAGCTGAGAAAACAACCATAGTGTTTTTAAATCTATTGTTTTAAAACAGGTTTTAAAATAGATATAATAAATTAAATCTATTGTTTTTAGTACAAAAATACTTAAAATTAGAATTTAAAAAATTTGAAGCGGAAAATGACAGTACAATCTATACTATTTGCTACTCTACTTTTTAGGCTTATACTGCTAAGAGATGCACTAGTTGGTTCTCTAGGATAATTCAGTCACAAACTGATAAAAGAGAGAAGGTGAACATTTTAAAGGAATGCATAAGGATAGTCCTACTACATTTGGTGCTGGTTCTATACTATCTCACTACCTTAAAAATCAGTTTCACCAAGTGTGTAGAGTTAGCTGTGGATGCTCATGAAATTTTTTGGCTTATTGTGTTTGGACTTTTGTCAATAAATAATCTCTTCTTCCTTTTTTTTTTTTTTTTTTGAATACAGTCTCTTTGTTGTCCTGGGTACAGTGCCATAGCACATCATAGCTCAAAGCTACCTCAAACCCTTGGGCTCAAGCGATTCTCTTGCCTCAGCCTCCCAAGTAGCTGGGACTACAGGAGTCTGCCACAGTGAAGGCTATTTTTAGAGACAAGGTCTCTATCTGGCTCAGGCTGGTCTCGAACCTGTGAGCTCCACCCGCCTCAGCCTCCTAAGTGCTGAGATTACAGGCGTGAGCCACTGCCTGGCTAAATAATCTGTTCTTTAACTCAGGCTTGTATGCATATGTTTATTAATAAGAAGATTGCTGTCAGCTTGTAGAATAATAAGAAGGCTGAAGATAGAGAGCAATTGTCCTGAAGAAACATACTCTTTATTATTTATTTTTAAATTATATGTATTTTTGTTATTTTTAAATTAGGATCATCTTATAACTCAGAGTAAGCGGGAACTTTTGTGCATAGAATGACTTACTAGGCTAAATACATTTTATGGATATGTAGTTTAGGAAATTTTTTAATAATTATGTCATCTACCTCTGTAACATTTCAGAAGTATTAGTAAGAGGCAAGTTTTGCTTTTTTTTTTTGAGACAGAGCCTCAAGCTATCTCCCTGGCTCACAACAACCTCCAAACTCCTGAGCTTAAGCGATTCTCTTGCCTCAGCCTCCCAAGTAGCGGGGACTACAGGCACCCACCACAACTCCCGGCTATTTTTTTTTGCTTGTATATAGTTGTCATTGTTGTTTGGCAGGCCTGGGCTACATTCAAACCCACCAGCCCTGGTGTATGTGGCTAGCGCCCTAGCCACTTGAGCTACAGGCTCCCAGCCAAGTTGTACTCTTAGTCGAGGAACAAACCCATATTTATGTGTTAGGTATTTGACTGAATATTAACTCTTATTCTTATATTATGGGAATTAATATGATTGAAACTTAAATTATAATAAAACAATCAGATTATACATTTTTCTGTCATCTTTCTTGAATACTTCTTTAGATAATTCAATTAGATTTTAAATTTTCTACCAGGATGAAGTTATTTTTATGCCTCTTGCCAAGTGAAACAAGCTACTAGTCCTAAAAGAAACAATAACTTTTAAATTAGTTCTATTATTTAATGCAAATTTAATAGGTTTTTTTTTAGTATTTTAAGGCATATTCTGGAAGTTCCAGTGACCTGTGACCAATTTATCTTTTAGAAAATAGCCAGTGAATATGAAGAATTTCTTGCCCCAAAATATCATTTTACTTTTTATATGTGTTAAATGTTTTACTTTAGTGAGTTTAATAATAAATTCATCCTTTCTACTGTAAGGGAATGTGATATATGATTATTATTTGTAAATGATTAATATATGGCCATATCTAATATGAGAATAATGTATTTTTACAGCTAACATTGAATACCTACATAGAACCACATATGGCACCAAAAAGTATACTTTTGTGAAGTCATATGAATTTTAAAGAGGTTCATTCAAAGTTGTACTTAGTATTTATGCTAAATTGCTTCAAATCACAGTGCCTATATTACCTAATTAGGCATCACTTCATATTTATTTAATTTTGGAGACCCAAAGTGAAGGACCAAAGTCTGCAGCCGACAAAACGTCTTGTTCCAATATCTCTGTGCATATTATTTTTCAGCTCCTTCGTTCCTCAGTACCCTCCCAAGTCTGGTTAGAGAGCATGATTGAGAATACAATATGTTATATAATATGCTTATCAGACCAGAAGGTACTTCCTCTCATGTCATTACTTGGTCAACATTTCAGTCCATTTACAAAATCTTAGAATTGAAATATGACCTTGGAAGTCATTTATTATATTCTTATTCAATTTATAATCTATTATACATTGACTTCAACAAATATTCATTTATGCTCTATTTAACTACCTTTTCTATATTGCTGGCCAAAGGTTTGCAGTGCTGTAATAGCCACAACCAGCTATATATCCTGGATCAAGTAACTTCAATGTTCTGGGCCTTATTTCCTCATTTATAAAATGGCTATTATTTGAATTAACAGAAATGACTAACATTTATTAAGTGTTCTCAACATAAGTTTTCCAAATACATTACATGTATTATCTCATATTATCAGAACAATTTATATGTGACCAGTGATTGGGTGGTTGTATAAATTACCATCATACCCAATCACTGTGACCATCAATACTACCACCAAGGCATAGCATTTGGATTTATAATTTATATCTGAAGAATCAATTTCAGATATGAGTTAGTATCATAGACGTAACTGCCCACAGATTTCCTTCAGTGTTTCAAATACAGAAATTCTATCAATTGAATAATAAATGTTTATTATTTTTAAAGTACAATCTAATATTGTTTATGCTTCATTTTATACAATTTAATTTTAAATAATTGTATTATGAAATAGATTGACAAGTAATGGAAATAGTAATTGATAGTTATTAGAAAAGAAGGCCAGTTGAATAATTTGGTGACAAAATTGCCATTAGCAATACCACAATGAAAAAATATCTTCTACCTTCACCAATCAGTTGAAAAGGAGCATCTATATATTTTCAGAAAGATACAGAGTAGAATACATCATCTGACAACTGACATAGATAGCTGACAGCTAACACTGTTATGAGATTTACTGATAACATGAAACTTAAAAATGAACAAGTAAAATTCTAACAAAAGAATGATAATAATTAACATTTATTACAAAATTTCAGATTCATTTTTACATCTAAGAAATACATTCTGTGATCACAGTTTTTGCCTTGAGTCCCTGGTTAAGTTGAAAATTGCTTAGCATTTGACTGAAATGCATATTTGGTTCACCTCTTAGTTTTTGTGATCATCTTGACAGTGCTCTTACCCTGCACCCCTCTAACTCCTTTTTAGACACCTATAAACAGATGTTTTCAAATATATGACAGGGGAATTTAAAACCAAGAACCTTAAGGTTAGGATGACAAGAAGTATCTTCAACCTTTTTTGTCCACCTGTGCTATCATTTCTACTGTCCCTTGTTAAGTGAGTACATTAGTCAGAAGTAGCCATAACCTGTAGGACAAGTAGGCAGATTGATTGGTTCTGCTACATCTTACAGTAGTTTGCCTATTTGTACTTAAAAACCACTCACCAAGAAAACTTGCTCTGAAAATCTGTGTATAATTTGTTTGTTTGTTTATTTAGAAACAGGGTCTTGCTCTGTCACCCAGGCTGCAGTGCAGGTTTTTTGCAGTGACCTGATCACAGCTCTTGATAACCTTGATCTCCTGGGCTCAAGTGGTCCTTCCACCTCAGCCTCCCAGGTCACTGGGACTACAGTCACATACCACTATGCCTGATTAATATATAATATATATATACACACATATATATTTTTTTGGTAGAGATGGGTTCTCTGATATGTTGCCCAGCCCAGGCTGGTTTCAAACTCCAAGCCTCAAGCAATCCTCCTGCCTCAACCTCCTAAAATGCTGGGACTCTAGGTGTGAGCCATCATGGCTAGCTGTATATTATAACTTTTGACTCCCCATAATCCCAAAACTTAACTAATAGTCTTCTGTTAACAGGAAGCCTTACCAATCACATGAATAGGCCCTTAGTGCATATTTTTTATGTTGTATGTATTATATATTGTATTTGTACATGAAGCTAGAAAAAGAAAAATGTTATTAAAATAATCATAAAGGGCTCTGTACCTGTAGCTCAAGTGGCTAAGGCGCCAGCCACATACACCTAAGGTGGTGGGTTTGAATCCAGCCCGGACCCACCAAACAACAATGATGGCTGCAACCAAAAAAAATGGCCAGGCGTTGTGGCGGGCGCCTATGGTCCCAGTACCTTGAGAGGCGGAGGCAGGAGACTCGCTTGAGCCCAGGAGTTGGAGGTTGCTATGAGCTATGCCACGGCACTCTACCCAGGGGGACAACTTGAGGCTCTGTCTCAAAAAAGATAATCATAAAGAAGAGAAAATATATTTACTATTCACTAAGTGGAAGTGGCTCATCATAAAAGTCTTCGTCCTCATTGTCAGCTGAGGGGTATGAAGAGGAAGCTGGATGTTGCTGGCTCAGGGGTGGAAGACCAGAAAAAGGGGGTGTAAGTGCACCTTCACAGTTCAAACTCACGTTGTTCAAGGGTCATCTGTAATTAGAGCCACAAGAACTTTTGGGGAACTGAAGTATGATTGTTTACCTAATTCTGAAAATATTTAGATCAGATTTAAATAAGAATCTGTGGAATTTAAACTTTTTCAGTGTTTGCCATTGCCATTAGTCATTGATAATCCAAAGACTTCTTTATATATTTAATTGCTTTTTCTTGGTTATTATATAAAATAATTCTGAATGGGTATTTTTAAGTTCCCTGTAACTCAAAGGAAGGTCCCCAAAATTCTCCTCTCATGAAATAAAGGTATTGCTAGCTGCATGCCAAGGGAGTAAACTTACATAATAACAGTTGACAATTTTTTTAAATAGGAATATGATGAAGAATGGGCTAAGAAAATTCAGAGTGAAAAGTTTCGCTGGCACAACTCTCAATGGCTAGAGATGGTAGAGAGTCGTCAGATGGACGAGAGTGAGCAGTACTTGTATGGGGATGATCGAATTGAGCCATACATTCACGAAGGTGATATTCTCGAAAGACCTGACCTTTTCTACAACTCAGGTAAGGTGATAACCAAAGCAAAAATAAACAATTGTTTGCTATAGATAGGGATTTTGATCTGCCAATCTTGCACTTTCCCAAGCTTTCTAAATGCTTCTTTTAGTTAATACATGGACTTCTAATGATTTCAGATGTAGTATCTGTGTACAACAAGCAAACCTATCAATTTTTTCTTTGTTAGTTTTTGATGTAATCTCCATAAAAAAGGCTGTAGCCAGGAGAATTAATTGCTCTTAGAAGTTTATTATTTATCAGAATGTAGCTTAAACTAACAATTTCAAGATTTCAGACTTCTGGCTCCGCGCCTGTGCCCAGTGGCTAGTTTTTTACTGCAGCCACATACATCGGAGCTGGCAGGTTCAAACCTAGCCCGGCCTGCCAAACAACAATGACAACCACAACCAAAAAAGAAAGAAAAGCTGGGCATTGTGGCAGGTACCGGTAGTCCCAGTTACTTGGGAGACTGAGACAAGAGAATCGCGTAAGCCCAAGAGTTAGAGGTTGCTACGAGCTGTGATGCCACAGCATTCTACCCAGGGTGACATATTGAGACTCTGTCTCAAAAAAAAAAAAAGAAAAAAGATTTCAGACTTCTCAGCTTAGCACCTGTAGCTCAATGGCTAGGGCGCCAGCCACATATAACAGGGCTAGCAGGTTTGAACCTGGCCTAGGCCTGCCAAACAACAACAACTGCAACAAAAAAATAGCTGGGTGTTGTGGTGGGTGCCTATAGTCCTAGCTACTTGGGAGACCGAGGCAAGAGAATAACTTAAACCCAAGAGTTGGAGGTTGCTATGAGCTGTGATGCTACCATACTCTACCGAGGGTGACACAGTGAAACTCTGGTCTCAAAAAAAAGAAAAAAAAAGATTTCAGACTTCTGTTAAAAAATGTAATGTTGTATTAATTTTTTACTCTGTCTTTATTAAATGTATCATTTATCAATTTATATTTTGTTTTCCCATCTGTTTCTTCATTTTTTTTTTGTGAGACAGAGTCTCATTTTGTTGCCCTCAGTAGAGTGCTGTAGAGTCATAGCTCACAGCAACCTCAAACTCCTGGGATGAAGTGATCCTCTTGCCTCAGCCTCCCAAGTACCTGGGACTATAGGCGCCCACCACAACACTCAGGCTGGTCTTGAACTCCTGAGCTCAAGCAATCCACCTGCTTCAGCCTCCCAGAGTGTTGGGATTACAGGCATGAGCCACCGTGCTGGCTAAACTATTTAATCTTAACAGCTTAATTTAGCTGTGGTTTTCCTTTAGTTTCAGACTACAAAACTATTTGGTGATAGCTGGGAAGATTTAGAATAGCAATAGCATTTTCCTTCTAAACTCTGCTAGTGTTTTCAGAGCCAAGTGCATTGGTATGTGCCTCTAGTCCCAACTACCTGGGAGGCTGAGACAGGAGGATCACTTGAGCTCAGAGTTCAAGTCTAGCCTGGGCCACATAGAGATACCCTATCTCTTAAAAAAAAAAAAAAGGGAGATTCTGCTAGCATTTTCAAGGTAAAATTTAACATTTACATAAATCTTACGTATATTATAACCTTGTTGATTCTGCTGTGCTAACTTTTTATAGAGAAGAGTTTAATACAGAGATTGGTAGATTTTTTGCATATTCTGGCTTCTAATGTTTTTTACTGCTGCCGATATTAATATTACATCATTGAAGTCATTTAATTAAAGAAAGCAGGAAAGGATTTCTAATTAAGATTGTCACAAGTTGAAAATAAAAAGCACTGAAGTAATTATATCAGAATTAATAACTCAGCATTGTTTCTACTGTGTATTTTTACTGTGTATTTATGCAATATAAATTTTCTAAAAAATGTATATTGTCTCATCAAAACAACTTGTGTATGATCAATAATTGTATGATTGTATAAATTAACATCACATCGAATCACTCTACCCACATTAATAATACCATTCATATATTCATTCATGTTTTCTTAATTTATATTATGCAAATTACTCATAGATCCTATTTTTTTAATATTTGATATAAATACTTAAATTCTGAAAAACTTAGGCTTTACTTTGAAAATTGAATAGATTTCTTCCTAACTGAACTTTACAGTAGTTATGAAATGCTGCTTTGTGTTTCAAACCAGATGGAGTAGATCATTAATTTCAACCAACCAGACTTTCTTAGTTCAGTAATGGCAAGCAGCTGTTCCTTACATATTCAGTATTCATGAAGTAAGATGATGTAAAATATATATGATATTCTTGGAATCAAGTTTCTAGCTTTGAAGGTTGATAGCTACCTTTCAACGTGAATCGATTACCAGTTTCCAAAACTGAATAAAACTATTAACCACCTCAGTATTCAACTTTGTTGTTTTAATACAATAAAAATTTCAGAACAGAGTTCTAAAAAGTTATACCATGTTTCTAAAATTAATTCATTTAAATTAACACCTTAAGTGAAAATGCTAAATATTTTTCTGTGAGATGCTTTGTGATTAAAATGTATAACTTAGACTTTTGTGACAGAGTTGAATTTTGTATATTTATATACAATAATTTAGAAATAGCAGTAGCTGATGGAAAAACAAATACTTGAAAGATGCAATATTATCATTAAATATCATTTTTTAATACCTCTAACCTGATGACATGGTAGACATTTAACAGTGGAAATTACATGCTGTGAGTTTAAAGATACAGTTCTTACAGCAAGCTGTATATATTTTTTTTTAGTTTAGGAATTTTTTACCTAATTCATTTTCTGTAATTACTCCATGAATGAAATGAATCTCAGTAGCATTTCTGGATACATCTCATGGAAATCTAGATGTCAGCCTCTGTTTGTTTATTATATGCAATTGTATCTTCAGAAATGTAAATTTGTAGTATTACAGATTTGTTTGAACACTTGAGCCATGTTATTAAGCCTCTGGGTCTCCATGAAAGTTTAGACTGCTTACAATAAAAGCAGCTTTAGTAGTTTTTCAGCCATAAAGGTTAAACTAAATGGCTGTAATTCTCTGAGTTTTTACTTTTACTTGACAATGAAATGGCATTTGCCATCCTCTATATTTTCAAATGATTAAATATCAGTAAAATGTATTTGTTTCTCCCTTTTTTAAAACAAAAAAAAAATTAGTGTTGTCATATGAAATAGGAAACTAGCATCTCCTCTCATTATAGTATTTTTAGAACCCCAAATCATTGTGATTATAATCCCTGATTAATTTCCTTTGCTATCATGAAAATTAAGCTGTTTGCTTAACTACTTTTACCCATAGAGGAAGTATAATTTATAAAGCTGTATTGCTACTACACATTTCTAAATGACTTTTTTATTTGTTCTTCATTACTTGTGGTAAATCTTATGCTTAATAGGTGAATATATTCCTGGATAATGTAGCTTAAGGTGGTTAGTTTGTCATATGAACTAGGAAACAATAATCTCTTTTACTTACATTATGAAAATCATAGTTTTCATTTGCTTGTGTGTTTCTGTGATGTATTTTATCCAATACAGCCAAATTAAGATTTCTCATTTTAGTTATTTTTCTCATTTTCTATATGATTATCATTGATTTTCTCCTGTACAGTCACAGTTTTATTTTTTGCTAGTTCACCAAAGAGCCCAATATTAAATTTTCATCTGACTGTATTTCTTAAAGTCAGAAAAAGTAAAGCCTGAGGAGGTAGCTAGCATGCCTGTTGTCCCAGCTACTAAGGAGGCTGAGGCAGGAAGGGGACGCCATTGAAGAGTTCTGGGCTGTATATGCTACGCCAAATAGGTGTCCACGCTAAGTTCTCCATCAAGATGGTTACCTCCCAGGAGCAGTGTGGACCACTAGGTTGCCTACAGAGGAGTGAACTGGCCCAGGTTGGAAACAGAGCAAGTCAGTAGTAGGATTGCACCTGTGAATAGATTGCACTCCAGCCTAAGCAACGTAACAAGAGCCTGCCTTTAAAAAATAAAAAAGTCTAGAAAAAAAAAGAAAAACATTTTTTTTATTTCAGTAATAAGAAGTGAGGAGATATTGAGTTTTTGTATTATTTACTTTCATTCACAATCTTTCTAAGCCAGTCTTTAACTGGCTTTCAAAAATCAAGAGGTTGATAAATTGTGTACGCTGACAATAAATTCGCTTTGATTTTTATCACTGTTCCCGTATGTCCTCCCATGTTGTTCATCATTGTCTTTACCTCATTATTTGGAGCATCTCAGAATAGTGTCCTTTATAACCATGGTCTAAGGATTTTATATAATTTAATAACCTAAACATGTGTAGTACGCTAGTTTACAGAGGGCTTTGGTGTATATCATCTCTGTTTTCTATTTGTTTTTCTGGCTGTTTAAATGTTACATGAAATTGTTTTGTTTCTTGTTTTTGTCTTTGAAACAACAAGGTTAGAGTAGGAGCTTAAGAAGGATGCTTCTAGGTTTATTTGGGGTATATCATCAAAGATACTCTTTTTTAGTATTTCCCTCAAAGAATTAATTGTGAATGCACAATGCTGAGAAATAGATACTTCCAAAGAAGTTAAGGTGCTTGAGATGAGGCTTTAATGTAACTTTTAGGCCTCATTTTAGTGAAGAAGGATTGCTCAACTTTTTTGGTCAAGCCATACAGGGCACTGTAGAATCTGCAGTTTACTGAATCAATTGCAGTGCCGTAGGATAATTAAAAATGAACTTTCGAGGTATAAATTTTACTCTTTTTTTAATATCTCACTTATTATGTGTTATTAATCTACTTGTATTCTCGGTTTATAAAATTTCTGGCTAAATCTTTAAACTCAAGAATTTTTAGTTTGATCTCTGTTTGATGATCTGCCCCTTTGCAATTCCGGTACTCTGTTTATCCCTTTGCTACTCAAGAATTTGCTCAAGTTTTTATTTAATTTCTTCCTAATCTGACTTACTAGGTCATATTTCATAAATAAAAACTTCTTACACATAGTTCAAGTATCTTCTCATTTGGTTGTATAATACTGTATTTATGTCTGAAATATTTCTGAGTGTTAAATTCTCTTTTTCTATTGGCACACTGAATATCTTTGCATTCATTTTCAATGTGTGGTATATGGTTTATTTTGGCATTTTACTTAGCTTTGTTCCACTAAAATTGGCAGGTTTCTTAAACCCTGACCTCAATTATTTTATTTTTATTTAACAGAGGAACTTGTTGATTTTGTGATCTTAACTTTGCTCATTTTAGCCACTTTCACAAATCTTAGATTCATATAAAATTGATTTTTTTTTTTTTTGGTTACTTTGCTTTTAATCTGTGGCACCTTGGTATATCATGTGACTTCATTTTTTGTGATATTTCAGTGTTTAGCTGACTTTAATGTAGAGACTTCTAGTGGACGTAAAAACTGATTTTAAATATTACTGACATTTTTTTGTGGAAACTCAGATTACCTCTTTAAGTATTTTAAAGTTAATAAAATAATAAGGCTAATTCTAAAGGTGTCCATAAACAATTCAACAATTTAATAATACTACATATAAGTCATTAATATATGATGCGTAACAAATGGATATATGTGTCAAATGAGTCATATGAAAGTCTTATGGAAATACAAATTACCTAATTTATTTATATTCCAACTCTATTACTTCATTTTAGCATTCATTCAATTTTTAATTTGCTTACCCCTCAAACACATTTCATCATTTAAGTCCCACTTATCTTTCAAGACTCAAGTCAGTAAAACTTCTGCCTCTTCCCCTCCCTGAGTAGGATTTTTTAACCCCTGTGGAACACAGGAAATCCCTCTATCCCTTTTACTGCCTCTATCACTTATTCAGTACCTATACCCATTCCTCTTGTATATCATTTATTATAAACTGTATTATTTAATTGCATCTCAAGTGTTTGTTTTATATATCATTTAAACTAAAATACTTAAAAACAGAGATTATGTATTGTAATTTTATATATTTCCCACAGGGCTTAGCGCAGTATTATTATGCATGTGCAAGGTATAAAATAATTATTTGGTGACTGAAAAATTTGCCTATACTATGTGCCAAATTTATAAACATTGTGGTAGGTATGATGTAGCTAACATTTATCAAGAAGTTATCAAAAACTCAGCATACTTTCAGAAAAGGAAATTTTGAAAGGCCTCAGAGCTGCACAGATAGTTATTATGTAAGTCATAGACTAAAGCATTTTGCTGTACACACTGGACAGACCTGAAGCCATCACTTAGATTTGTTTCCCTCACATCCTTTTAATTCTATCAGAAATAGGTTATCTAGATTCTTAGACTGGAGCAAATGAGAAAGTAATGTCACTGTAAAATCAGCCAAAAATTGTAACAAAGACTTAGATTTAGGAAAAGAAACGTTAATTATTAGCAAAGAAAAAAACTCAAAAAGGATAGTAGTGTAGAGCCATTTAGCATAGGTTATCACAGACATCTGATAAACCAAAGGACTGTGTAATACTATTTATATGAGGATTTGGGCCATAAAGGAATATTTAACTTATATGCAGTATGTACTTTTAAGAAACAGGAAGTATAAAATATATGATGATTTATCATGTTAGTTTGTGTGTATTTTAATATTTGGCACTTAATTGTCAAGCATTTTTCATAAATTCACTTATCTGATATATCTAACACCCTAATTCTTCTACATCAGTGAAACTGGGAATAAAATTTGAAATATACTAAAGTATTGCATTTTACCAACACCAGGCTATTTAGTGCCTTCTGGCCTTTATTCATGCTATTTCCTTAGTCTGGACCATCCGTACTGTCCCTCCCTACCTTGCCTTTCCTTCTTATCTTTTTCTGTGCCTTTCGTCTCAAGACTGCAAGCCCCTTAAAGGCAGAAACTCTTACTCATTTCTGTAGTAGGATGGTACTAGGTACATAGAAGATGCTTGATTTTGAATTATCATGAACAAAACACTTATAAATACTTACAGTCTTCTGTTCATACTTCCAGAGAGAACAACACGTCATGCTAACATTTTTCTTTCTAAATTAAATAAATATAAATAAAAGTATTTTCTTACTGTGTTGTGTGATAGTTTCCTTTTTATTTCCTCCAAATGTATTTCACTAATTACCATTTTCTTTCTTTCTAGATGGATTAATTGCCTCTGAAGGAGCCATAAGTCCAGATTTCTTTAATGATTATCACCTTCAAAATGGAGATATAGTTGGACAGCACTCATTTCCTGGCAGGTAAACCATCTTCCAAGAAAAATGTAATGTATAGTATTTTCTTTGCTTTTGAAAAGCTAAAATTCTCTCCCCATTTTCCTATCTTTTTCATGAATGGGGAGAACCTTAATCTTTTCAAGAATATGTTTGATTTTAAATTAACCTAGGAAGTCACATTTTCTATGTGAAACAATATGGAGATCATATATCAGAAAAATATGCTTCATCATTTTGGAAAATATAAACTATATACTGAAACCGACAATGCTTTTGCCAAATTAATGAGCACAGATTATTTCCTAAGTCTTCTCCAAAGCCAATAAAATACAGAATGAGAACACAAAACATGTATTTTAACAATTATTCAAACATCACTGTTTTAAAAACTTGATGCTTCGATTAAATTGAAAATTTTTCTTCCCTAGATGGCATTCAAGTAAAATATTTAAGGAAAAAATATCTATCAGGCCAGTATTTTTCTATAATCATAATAAGGTTCCCCACAGTATATATCCAGCTTCATAATATAATAGATTTTTAAAATCTTGCCAGAAAGTATAAATAATATATTTCTCTTTTTATCATTCCTATGAGTATAATATTTTAATTAGGCTAACTGTTAAAATTTCACTTTAAGTCAGTCAAGTGAATAAATGTAGTCTTATTTTCTCTTCAGCCTATTTACTTGTGCCTTACATTATTGATTTAATTTCCTCTTTTAAAATTCTACTTTTTGTTAGAATAAGCTATTTTCTATTTAGGAAATGTATTCATGTATTTTTCTAATAAATAAAACAATTATGACCAATATGCTATAACTCTTATTGATTATTTGTAATGAGTTATTTTAATCCAAGAATAATTATATTTCAATTATTATTTAAATAGAGCCTCTGTTTAATCATCATAAATATTTCACTGTGTCATGTGATAATTCACAGTAAAAATGTTTTCTGAAACATAATTGGAAAAGGAAGAAATGGTTTAGTTATGTGATCCTAATTCTTATATCAAAGGATTTTGCTTACAGTATTTATGAAATGAATTATTCTACCATTTATGTTTCACCATGAGCAAAAACATTATTTTTGTATCTCCTGCTGTAGATACTACCAACCTAGATTAAGCAGACTGCTGCAGATCATGCATTAGCTTTTATTTTTTTAATGTAACCATGTGACTTTTAAAAAACTAATTTCACTAAAACAATATACAAAGTAATCTTTTTTGCTCAATTCAGCAAAATCTTGTATCTGGATTTCAAAAATGGGCACTTTATAAAACAAAGATGTTTTGAAAGATAGATCTATTCTATGACCAAGTTACTTACTTGGTCCAAAGATTTCAGGATTTTATTCCTCAGTTCTGTTAATAAGCTTTTTTTAATGGTTTTGAGAAACTCCTTTTATCTTTGTACCCTCAGTTTCTTTTCACGAGTAAAAATACTTAAGTATCTTCCTATACTTCATAAAAATCTTTACAGTAATGTTGACTTAAAGGATTAATTAATAAAACTTGCTGTAGACTATTTTTCAAATCAAAAGAAAGATATACTTATTTATTACAATCATTTTGATTTGAGAATTGTTTTGCCTTTTAAAAAGAACTGCCACTGAAAAAGTTAAATCTTTTATCTCTTGTCTTTTGTAATTTTCCAGGCCTTAAATCACTAACTATATTGATTTCCTTAAAAGAAATAATTTACAATGAATTTCCTCAATTTTTTTTGTACATAATGAATAGGGACTCTAAATTGTATCAGCAGAGATACACACAGAGTATACAGTCTAGCCAAAGGTGTCCTTTTCCACATTCTGTTTTATTGACTTACTGTGGAATGATTTACTTTTTCTGCTTTTATTCAACCATTTTTAGTTGGTTAGGATTCTCCTCTTAATAAGACTGCTGTGCTTTTCTTTGACAGTAACAAACCATCTGGCACACTTTTTAATTCTGCAAAGATTTAAGTATTTTAAATTATGAAATAACCATTCACATATTTTAAAATGATAATTTTGCTGCATAATGTCCCAGATCTGAAATTTTAAATTGGTTTTTACCTTTTAGCTTCTGACATCCAACAGCTGAATTTAAATCTCTTTAGATTAAATAATATTGGCTCAAAATACTATTGTTGGAATTTATTTCAATTGATTTTAAGCAAAATACAAATATTGGCAAGAAATGCAAGATCATTAAATACAAATTGTTGAGTTCCTATTCTTCATTTTCACTGTGGAGCTGAGAAAAAGCAGACTTAATGTACAGCGTGGAGAATCGAGGTTAACCATGAAAGAAAAATACCTTACTTGAATTTTAAATATTGAAAAAACTTACTCTCTAAATATCTATAAGAAGAGGAAATGTTACCTATTTGGAGGAGTTTTTTTCTTTAAATTAGGGAAATGGTCCACGTGACTTACAAATTCTCTACCTGCTTCTTTATCAAATGTCTTTGATAAATAAGCACTGTTAAATTATCTGGAAAAAGAGTAATAAAAGATTAGTGTGTAAAAGGTAAGCTGTTATCATTGACGTTGTTTCTAATGATTTGAGGAAAAATAGTATGTGGGATGAAACATGAAAGAAAATAGCATAGTGCCAAGTACTGACAGTGCCATACTCTTCTGCCGCCTCTGAGGGCTCTTTGGTTTTTGTTGATTAACATTTCAGTTTGAGTGGATGTAAAGTAGTTGATCTCAGGTTCCTGTAAGATAAAGAATAAATTGCTCAATTGTGTGACAGGAGGGTTTTTTTAATTGTTCAAAGAGAAATTCTCCACTTACTGCTAAAATGACCAAGTTTAGTAGTAGACAAATGTGTTAAAAATCTGAGAAACTAAGCCAGATTTAGAGACGTGTTTAAACAGCTTAAATTGGTATTTTTCTTAAAATCCAAGTCAGGGAGTCCTTCTTAATCTGAACGCCTGCGTGTTTGTAATATAGCGAGGCAGTTTAATTGGAAACAGCGAAAACTGTTAAACTCATCTATCCCATCTACAAGAGAGACTGGATGTTTGATCAAATAGATACTGGCAGTTGGACAGCGAATCCTGGGTTTTAGACATGTGTCACTATCGGTTTGAACCTCTTGGCGCCAGGATTTCCCGACATTTAGAGCTAATGCAAAATGCATTAGGGCTCTAAGGCATCAGCTGTAGAGTTGCCAATCCCAGGGCGTCAAATGTAAATCTTCCCCTCCTGAAATCTGTACTGGTGTTAGAAAGTAAAGTGGAACTTGCTATTGAAGCTAATTAAAAATAATAGGAGCAAGACTAAGTTTTTTTCCTGTTATATACCATATATCCACACCATATTTTTGGACCGTTTTTTTATTATAACTTTTACTTTTCAAGACTAACAAGAACCTCATGTTAAGAGTATTTTTAAACTGCTTCCAGCTTTTACAAATCAGTTTTTGTTGCAGTAAAAATGGTCCATTTTTCTTTTATAGGAATCCAATTTTCATAAACTGGGAAAAAAATTGCAAGGACTGCTTAGGTTTCCTTGGGGCTTTGAAAAATATTTTTTCAGAGAGCCTGGAGTAGTTCTTTGTGGTTGGCACAGTGATGTCATTTACTGACCATTTCACTGGGGTCCAAGATGAACTAGGTGTGTGTATTATCTAAGCCATCTGATTTCTTACACTTTGATTTTTTGTGTGTGTATTACAGCCTGCCTCTTTTTTTCTTGTTTAGAATACTTTAGTATTAACTTTTATGTATATTATATATATTATATATTACAGATATATACCTTCTATGCTGGTCTGTATTTTTTTTTTTTTTTT